ATATACCACCAGAGCACATAACATTCATTACTTTGTTGCCTGGCTTTTTAAGACAAAATAGTGCATAAAATGTAATTTTAATGTTTCAGCATTGGGTGTTGAACAGTATGTGGTGAAAGGGGTGGCAAAATGTACAGAAACAAGAAACAGAATGTAATTGGTCAGGAAAATGCCTGACACAGGTTCCTTCCTTGCAACATTGCTACTTGCCACACACACTTATCCTGCTGGAAAAGGAAGCAAACCTGTGTGTGGACTCAAACTGAAGCGCACTTCTCGCCGGTGGCCAGCAGGTGGCAGTCTTGTCTGGAAGCGAAGAGAAAGAACTGGACCCTGGTTTTCCCAGGCTAGCAAAGAATTGAGAAACAAACCTCATCTGTGCCGAGTGACTTGCAATGGCTGCATGACACAGCCACGGTTCCCAGGCGCAGTCCCATTTCTAAGGCTCCTCCCTCAGCTCTGTCACCTCTTTTACTGATTCCCTGGGTTTCTTCATCTATCAGACAGGTGGTTGCCTCACCAAGCTTTCTCCCAGTCTGCCAGGCCGTGGGTCCCACAGTTCCTCTTTGGATTGGAAGAATCTTTCCTCTTGCACTAAAGTTTCCTCTGAGTGTCAGTGGCCCACTCCTTACACCTGGGCCGTTTACTGCTGATTCCATCAGCACTGGTGGTGTAGCTGACACCGACTCAGTTGGTATTTGTCAAATGAATGGGTATGGGCCCTGCCGAGCGCTTCTCGGCCTCACTGGGCATAATCTCTCAACAGCTCTCCTGATCCAGCCACTTTCCTGAATACTCTTCTCTTCCTTCCCAGGCCCAGCTCTGCTGGCTTCCTCCCGCCTTTCTGGAAGCTGCTGCTCAGTCCTTTGTGCATTCCGTCCCCCCAGCACCCCCTTTCTTTTCCTCGCAGGATCCAACCCCAGGTCCTCTTCTCTTTCTTTGCTTCCTGTGGTACCTAGTCCACTGCCATGGTTTTAATTACCACCTATAATGACAGAAACAATCATGGATAACTTTATAAAGGGTTTACTAAATGCTAAGTACTGCTCTAGCTCCTACCTCATTTAGTCCTCAAATGAGGTGGGCACTGTTGTGCCCCTTTAATGGGTGATAAGCAGAGTGACCTCTCCCCTGAGCTCCAGACCCATATTTCCATTTGCCTCCGCACCTCTCCCCTTGGATGTCACTAACCATGTTCAGAATGGGACTCCTGGTATTGTAGCTCCAAACCTTTCCTTTTCCAAGGTCCCAGCCTCAGGGAAAAACACCCAGATGTGGGCAATCATCGTTTCTTTCTTCATCCCATCTCCGGCCAACTTCCAACAAGACAGTCAACTCCAACTCCTGAATATCATTCAAACATGTCCCCTCTTCTCCATTCCGTCTCCTTCTGTAATTCAGGTCTTTGTATTTCTCACCTCTAAACCAAACTCCATCTCTCCAGTATGGTGCCCACACACAGTCTATTTCCTGGTTCTCCACCAGAGTTTAGTGGTGACGAACATGAGCTTTGGCCCCGGCCGGTTTGGCTCAGTGGGCAGAGCCTCAGCCTGCAGACTGAAGGGTCCTGGGTTCGATTCTAGTCAAGGGCACATGCCTGGTTTCGGGCTCGATCCCCACTAGGGGGCGTGCAGGAGGTGGCTGATCAATGATTCTCTGTCATCATTGATGTTTCTATCTCTCTCTCCCTCTCCCTTCCTCTCTGAAATCAATTTTTAAAATTTTTTTTTAAATAATATGAGCTTTGGAATCTGTAGAGTCATTCTACTACCTATTAACTTTTGATCTTGGGCAAGTTACTCAATCATTTGGAGTCTTGGTTTTCTCTGAAATGAGAGATGAGAAAACACTTGCTCTACCGGGTGGTTGGCACGTGCAAAACCCTCAGAAGCTGGGGCTGACCTACCTCCACAAGCTTAGCTCTCACCAACGCCCTGTGTCCCAGCCAGGCCTCCCCGCTTGCCTGGCCACAAGGGTGGCATGCACTTGGCAGCATGGCACTTGCCACATTCTTCACTCCAGTCCCCTCCTTATCCCTGTGGCTTTGTCAGCTCACGTGTTACCTTCTCCAAGGAAGTCTTCTGATTCTCTAACCCCCAACCCCTCCACATGCTCTGACACCAACCTGGCTTCCTTGGTGTTCCCAGAGCTCTTATAACACAACATCATAAATGCCAGTTTCCTTACTGGTGTCCCATTAGATGTGTCATCCCCGAAGGCAGGGATTGGACCTTAGTCCTCCTCATTGCCCTAGCACAAGGGTCCGACAGGGAGAAGATGCGCAATACGTATGTGTTAGATACATGAATCCACCTATGAATAAACCTGTGTCAGGCATTTTCCTGACCAATTACCAATCAGCGACTGCTTCAGTGTAGGACGGGGGGGTCATCAGTACCACAGGCGTTGCAGTCTCCTGTTGTCCTTGCTTTCTGCATGAGCCTTCTGTGCTTAGTCACCAACGCAGGGCAGAGAGTTGTAACTGGCTGTGTCTCTTGTGGAGATATTTGGGCAGGACAAGCACTTTTGCTTTGGGTGTAAACAGTGACAGCTATGAACTCCCCTGAATGTCCATGAGCCATGTCCAGCGCCAGGGAAGAGCTCTCTGCGGCACAGGCTGGCACTGTTCCCGCCGCGTCCTCGCACTAAGGTGCTACCAGCCTGTGCCTGGGATGAGCCCAACCACTCCTGAGAGTCGACCTGCAGCTGACAAGGCCCAGTGTGGAGTTAGAGAGGTGTCTACCACTCCGACCTATAAGCCAAGCTGAACTCATTCTGGAGCAAGGAAGAAAAGGTGTCACAACCAAACAATAAGAACAGATGAGAAGGACGGTGAGTAAATAAATACTATGGAACATAAATGGCATGCTATGGTGCGGGGGCCATAGTGTAGAGAGTGCTATATTGTGGGTTGCAACTTAAGAAAGAGTAGCCCTCAGCCCTG